GGACTCATGCTCAACAGAATGAATCTGGGGAAGGTCGACTTTAACCATCTTCATCTTTCAAACAAAATGTACAGAGAAAGTGAAGGGGAAATATCTTCTGACAGGACAGTCCTCCTCGTTTCTTCTTTCCAAATTGGAAGAATTTGAAGCAAGATTCACATTATGTTGAAATCAACAAAGATGTTTAAACAGTAACAATGTCAACTAATTTCATGTCTTGAAGTTAAGATAAGAACTTAGTTGTTGACTAAAAAGAATTCCAACATTGAAATAAAATCAATTTATTACATTTAACATTTAACTAGAGTTTGCAAATGTGAAATAACTATCATGACTGCTGCTTTTGAATACAATCCTGCTTCATTTCAAAGAATTCTTTTGCCTGCTTTTCTTCTTTGTTTCAACTTTATGGCAATACATTTTATTTTACGATTGTTGTTTCTAGAGGAATTCTTGGTTTTTCTAGTGACATCAGTCCGCACGCTTTCCTTCTTAGTTTTAACAAACAAATTATTTTACAATTGTTGTTTTAAGACGAATTCTTGAAGTTCCAGTGACATCATTAACAGGCTTTGCTTTTCTTCTCAGTTAAACAAACAAATAGTTTTCTATAATAGTAATGAAGCTTTGAGTAATAAATTTTATTGGTTAAATTGTTGCTTTCGGATGAAATCTGGCTTCCTGTGGTTCCATTCCTACTTCTTTGGTATGAGTTAGCTTCAATTTCAAGAAAAAAAGAATACTTATTGAAAATATTGGTTTTATCCTTGCAAAAAAGTTTGTTAACAAAATTACTAGTTAAAGATATTTAATTCCTTTGTTAATATAAGCTTTCATTGATAATCAAGTAAGTATGGTACTTAAGTGATACTACTAGTGTATAAAATTTAATTCAACTTTACCGTTTTCAAAGAGAAATGCAGCTCTGCTTTAAGCTCTGTTTCAGTTTGGAAAATATATTTTTTTTTAAATAAAACTCAAAAGGTAAAGTAAAAAATGGCAATCAATTGTTAAAAAATTTCTTCAAACTCAAATATTTGTATGGAAAGTTAAGAAAAAGTCTTCATTGCTTTAATATCAATAATTTGTTGCGTTCACAGTATTCCTGGTGTGATATTGGAGATAGCAAACATGCTATAATAAGTTGACCAATAATTCTTCTTCGTTATCATTAAATTAAATAATTAATTTAAAACTGATATACTCAAACGTTGGCATGAAATTAAAAATTCTCACATGATGTCTCTTCTGTTTGCCTTCAAATTTACTGTGGTAAAATATATTCATGTAGCAAATCTTCATTTTTAACTAATTAACTGAAAATGTATGTCTATGAATTCTCTTCACACAAAGGTCTACTATACAACATTTATAAATCTTTGTGTAGTATTACTTTTAACTATTAAAACAAAATTGATAGTTGTGGAATAAGTTATAATAAATTTACTGAGCCTTTTTAGTAACAGGTGATTTTTTTGGTTTCCAGTCGATGACAATGGGATATTTTTAGTTTTCTCAAATTCCACATGCCTGCAATTCCTAAAAGTTATCAGTATAACGCTACACTTGTTTTTATATACTCCAGTTTTTATTGAATAGTTAGATTTGTCTACTCAACTTTTATTAAATCTTTAGATTTGTCTACTTCATTTCCTTGGAACTTCAGATTTATCTTATTTTCTTAAATCTTCAGATGTATTTACTTCCCTTGAATCTTCAGATTAATCTACCTACTTTTCTTGGAACTTCAGATTTGTCTACTCTATTTCCTCGAAACTTCAGATCTAATTCTCTCGAATCTCCAGTTTGTCTAATCCATTCCTTGAAACTTCAGATTTATCTTCTATCGAATCTTCATATTTGTCTACTCCATTTACTTGAAACTTCATATTTATCTAATTTCGTTGAATCTTCAGTTGTATCTCAATCTCTCCAATCTTCAGATTTGTCTACTCAATTTCCTTGAAACTTCAGATTTATCTACTTTCCTTGAAACTTCAAATGTATCTATTTCTCTCGAATCTTCTGATTAATCAACTCCATTTTCCTTTAAACTTCAGATTAATCTACTCCACTTTCCTTGAAACTTCAGATTTATCTAATTTGAATTTATCTACTTTGAATCTTCAGACTTATCTTCTTCCCTTGAATCTTCAGTTTTATCTACTTTCCTTGAAACTTCAAATGTATCTATTTCTCTCGAATCTTCTGATTAATCAACTCCATTTTCCTTTAAACTTCAGATTAATCTACTCCACTTTCCTTGAAACTTCAGATTTATCTAATTTGAATTTATCTACTTTGAATCTTCAGACTTATCTTCTTCCCTTGAATCTTCAGTTTTATCTACATTCCTTGAAACTTCAAATGTATCTATTTCTCGCGATCTTCTGATTAATCAACTCCATTTCCTTGAAACTTCAGATCTATCTATTTCTCTTGAATCTTCAGATTTATCTTCTTCCCTTGAATCTTCAAATTTATCATCTTCCCTTGAATCTTCATATTTATCTACTTTCCTTGAAACTTCAAATGTATCTATTTCTCACGATCTTCTGATTAATCAACTCCATTTTCCTTGAATCTTCAGATTTATCTTCTTTCCTTGAATCTTCAGATTTATCTACTTTCCTTGAATCTTCAGATTTATCTACTTTCCTTGAAACTTCAGATCAATCTAATCCACATTCCTTGAAACTTCAGATTTATCTATTTCTCTTGAATCTTCATATTTTTCTTCTTCCCTTGAATCTTCAGTTCTATCTACTTCCCTAGAATCTTCATATTTATCTTAAGTGTTTTTATTTAAATCAACAGAGACTATTTTCTTTGAAACATAAGATTTGATCCACCTCCTTTGAAATGTCAGATTTTATCCAGTCCTCATTCTTTTTATCAATCAACTCCATTTTCCTTGAAACTTCAGATTAATCTACTCCACTTTCCTTTAAACTTCAGATCTATCTATTTCTCTTAAATGTTCAGATTTATCTTCTTTCCTTGAATCTTCAGATTGATCTACTTTTGTTGAAACATCAAATGTATCTACTTCTCTAAAATCTTCAAATTTGTCTTTTCCATTTCCTTGAAAATTCAGATTTGTCTGATTTTCTTGAATCTTCAGATTTATCTAATTCTCTTGAATCTTCAGATTAATCTATTCTACTTTCCTGGATACTTCTGATCAATCTACTCCACTTTCCTTGAAGCTTCAGATCAATCCTCTTTCCTTGAAACTTCAGATTTATCTATTTCTCTTGAATCTCAAAAGATTTATCTACTTCCCTTGAATCTTTAGATTTATCTACTTTCCTTAAAACTTCAAATGTATCTACTTCTCTTGATTCTTCTAATTAATCAACTCCATTTTCCTTGAAACTTCAGATCAATCTACTTCACTTTCCTTGAAACTTCAGATTTATCTATTTATCTTGAATCTTCAGATTCATCTACTTCCCTTGAATCTTCAGTTCTATCTTCTTCCCTAGAATCTTCAAAATTAACTAAAGTGTTTTTATTTCAATCAACAGTCACTACTTTCTTTGAAATATTAGGTTTTATCCACTCCACTTTCTTTAAAACGTCACATTTTATCCACTCAATGTTCTTTGATCTTCAGATTTATCTACTTCACTTGCCTTGAAACTTCAGCTTAAGTTGTATCCTGGTTCATTTATACAATCTATATCCTGACTCATTCCATCTTCCAGTTAATTAATTATGGTGCAGGTAAGTTAATTTTCTAGCTTTTTAGCAGACACAAGGAAACATTTTTTAAAATTTATTTTCCTTTTTGTAAAAAAAATTTGCAGTTTATTTGTCATCAGAGATGATAAATATTAGTTTTGTAAATTTAAGAATAGTACAAACTATTTGCTGACAATTTAAAATATGAAGTTTTAAAATTATAACTGAGTCGAGCAGTTTCAACATTTCAAATCTTGATCTTCTTTGCATTTTTATTCTATTTTGGAATATTGTTTTACATATCTTTAGATTCAGTTCTTGCGTGTGGGTGAAGACGAATAAAATCTTAGTCTTGAAGCAGTAGTATTCTGTGGTTCTGACGATAAATTGTATAAGCAAATCAATGGAAAATTGACTTTACATTTACTATAATAATGTTAGTCTCCTTTAGATATTATGACAAAATATTCAAATTATGTTAACAAGAAATCTCAGATTGTATTCTGCTTAATGTTAAGCTGCACATTTGCGACTTTTTTTTACCGTACTTTGTTCTTGATAATTAAATGCAGCATTAAATGTAAAAAATATTATTAGAAATTATTTTATGATACTAATGACCTTTTTTGATGCTTCAAACGCACACATTTTCCACTTGCATGGTCCTTTGAATAAACGTGGCTTGTTAATGTAAAAATTGAAGTAAACCAAAGGTTTTTGATGAAATAACTGTAAAGATAAGGTATTATAATATCTAATTGAGTGAGTCGGATGAATGTTCATAATTATATTCTACAGCAACAGTAAATTTAACACTTTAAACTTGCATTTCAAAACAGTTTGCTGGAATAAATTACAATTTACAGCTCAAAAAATTGTGTGATCTCAAAATGTAAATGAGGGGACAAAGGTATAAGTACTTTCAGCGGGAATCTCTGAAGTCGGCAGTGGCCATCCAAAAGAGGGTGGGTTAAGTGTCTCCAACCCCAATGGACCGAGGGTCATTCAATCGCTGGTGCATATCTGGCTACTGCTCTCGGAAGAAATATATTTTCACCCTTATGAAGTACTAATGTTTCAGATTGTATCATTTTCTTTCTTTAACTACTCAAAACAACTGTCCAACTTTTAGCCTTAAAATTGTCCCAATGCAGATAGTTCCTCGTAGTACGTTACAGACATGAAATTGGACTTTTCTTTCCACATTCTATGAAATTCAACAAAAATTCTACAATCAGAAAAAGCACAATATATTCTACTTATGAAACATTAACCCGACTCACAAAAAGATTTGGCCAAAAATAAATACAAACTTTGAGCATTGAAGCTATAAGAATCTTCTTCCTCTTCATAATTTTTCCATTTTTGAGATTCTTGATTGTTTTTCCATTTTGGTGGCTCTTGGTTATTTTTCCACTTTTGTGGCTGTGAGTAGTGATTGTTGCTATAGCCTCCTCTGACATTGAAATTTCCTCTGTTATTATAATATCCTCTAAACTTTTGTCCATCCACTCCCCCTCTCATGCCTGAAGATGTAAACATTGCTAGTTACTTAACACAAAAATTCAGAAGAAAAATAAAAAAAAAAAACTCTGCAAAACCTCCAGATGAAAAACTGCTCACGCTCCTTCAGCATTTGTTTCCTGAAAATATATTAATTTTATCCTAGGAAAAAATTAGAGTCCCAAAATAAAAAAAAACCTTGAAATCGAGATAAAGAATTTAATAAACAAAAGATGAATTGTTTTAACTTTACATAAGGTTTCTTCACTTTTACAATTAAGTTTTTAAAAGCTCTCCTCTTGCCTTTTCATAATTATTCCGATCCATTGTAATCTTCAATGATGATGCAGGGGTTGCTTCACTGGTTTAGTGTTGCTCCAATAAGGACATAATCAAGCACTTGAACCAGCTTAATATATTTATGTTAACAATAGATGTTAAGACGTAAAATCTTCTTCTTATGACGATGTTGTCTTGTAGTTTGGTTGGAATATTCAAATTGGTATTGGTTATTTCACTTTCAAAAATAAGGAATTTTCTCATATAATATGATCAATATTTTTCTGTAATATCTCTCTTTTTAAGTACAATTCAATCTTTCTGAGCTTAGAACAGTTTCAAGGAAATAGTGCTACTTCAGTTAGTAGTTTATGATCGTATTAAACAATTCTGAATATGAATCTTGTAAAGAAAACATGAAATTATTTGTACTACCCCATGTTAAAATTTGCATCTGCGATCTAACTGCTAAGTATGTACCTCTTAAAGCCTGTTTACATCAAATCCTCTACTGCCACAAGTAAATCAAACTTTCTTTTAAAGGTCAACTTGTCCACGTTCTAGTTATCCTTTTATTTTTCAAACAATTCTTTTTACAATGAATATTTTTCTTTTCTTATTGAATGTGTCTTAAATCAGCAGTTGAAAGGTTTTTAGAGCACTCATGTTGAATTTTTTTTTATCAAAATATCTAATATCCAATTGCTGAGAATTAGAAAAGACTGTGGTCACTGTCCAATTGTTTTATTCCATGGTGTTGTATTTTAAGGTTAATCAAGTTGTATTTTTGAACGTTTTCAAATAAAAATTTGTCAATAAAATATATCAAACACTTTTTGAGTGTTATAAACTTTTGTTAATGTTTCAAGGTCTGTTCACAAAGTATGTTATAAGCTAAAAGCAAGCAGTTGGACAATTGTATTGAACATTTCCAGTTTCTATATGGTCCAGTCTCATAACTAGTTGAATGGATCCCAAGCTTGTCAAATGCCCTTGAAATCGAGACTTTATCTTCTCCCAGTTCAGTCTTTTCTACTTCTCTTTCTTTCTGTAATAGCCTGAAGAACACGTCCTGTGTTTCCTTATTTCCCCCTAAACAATAGGCAAACTTTCCAACATCAATTATTATGGTTGATTCCTCTTAACTGTATCTTGAATTTATGAATCTCTTCATTTTCATGTTTCCTGGATATGATATGATGTTGTCTCGAAGCCATAAATCTTCGGGATTAAAGAAAATACGTCAATCCAAGAATTTTTGTTTATAAGTATCTTGTTTCTTGAGAGAGAAAAAAACATGTAGATTTTGTGTTCAATGGATTATTCAATCTTCTGAGCTCTTCTTTTTCTTGATCAATTGTATATTGATGAATGTTCAAACATCAACATATTTGTATATTATTCTTGGAGTACTCAAAAAAAAATTAATTTCTTCTTGACAGTAGTTGGATTTTCTTCAGGAACATGTTTTTACCTTAGTCTTGCTTGTAGAGAATTTTACAATGATTATTCTTGCACTATCTTGAAATTTATTAAAAAATGCTATGCTGCACTCTTGAATCATTGCTGTGCTGTTTTGTTGTAACAAAGCCTAATCTTGATCTCTGAAATTGTCAGCCGTTACTTTGTAACTGCTTACATTTAGATTAACGAGGACCCATCTAGATAAATAAATAAACAAAAATACATCCTACAACACATGTTATATGCATTAAAAAAAGAAAAATAAAGATGTCTTTTTCCTTACCAGTAGAAGAGTGCAGCTTTCAACTCTGCTGGTCCAAGCTTTGGTTAACCTGCGTAATCATACCATACAAAATATAGCCTAACCTAGATAATAAATGACAGAAGAAATCCAGAATAAAAGATGTGTTTTAAAACGGAAAGTATTTCAAGTTTTTAAAAAAATATTAAAAAATGCAATAAATTTACGGGCCCTTTAAAAATACATATTAAATCCTTGAGAGTCCAAAAGTCTTCGTTGATATCCCAGTCCAAGATCCATGCAATCCAAAATGCGTTTTTGCCAGAATATTATAAGTAGAGCAGTCCTTTTAACATTTAAATTTCTTAATAAAATTCCTTTAATTCTTATTTTTAATTCAATGATATTACTTTCAGGATTGAAAAGTTTTTTAAAGTATTTTTTTTTTGTAAAAATTACAGTTAATATTGGATCAAATAGAACATTATTTTTAAATAATTCATAAAACTGGCATATTCTTTTAATTTAGTTGTTTCGGTCAATTTTATTTAAGTAAATCACAAAAAGCTCTTGCAATAGCATTGTTCTTTAAGTTCAACAAATTATTTAAATTTATTTCATGAATATTTTTTACAATTTCATCAAATCCTCCAATCTCCAGAGTATCCAGGTTTCTTTTTTTGCCAATAGGTACTTGTTATTCCAAAAAATTGTTTATTCAAATTAATTTAAACTTTGAATTTTTAAATCATAAAAATTTAAATCTGTAATATAAATTTAATATTGAAAATGATAGAATCCGTGGAAAGCCGGGTCCAGATGTTAAGGTACCTTTGTCTCGTCCATTGTCGTAATAGCGATATGCTCTCTCGTACTCGTCTATTGGGGAAGGACCAAAAAAATTAAAAACTGTAAAGGTTAGTCTGGAAGTAAAACTTATATGGACCAACTACTGCATTTAGGTCCACTTTTGAACCAAAAACAAATTCTGAGCACTGTGGTTTCAAAAACTTAATCCTAATACACATGCAATAAACTTTTCTCTCTACTGTAAACATTTCAGTTTTTTTATAAAAGTAACTGGATTATTTTAGCTTAGAATTAGCAGTTTCCTCAGACAATATGTGAATAACTATTCAATATATTTAGAAAATAAAATATGTACAATAAAACATGAGTACTGTTAGTAAATCAATAAATAAGGTTACCTTCGTCAATCAGCTCATAGAAGTTGTAACATTGTTACGGCCGTTTCAGCATATCTATGCCATCATCAGACGTTCAGCCTTAGTGGCATCGTTAATATACAAAAACACAAACTGTCACACGCGACGTACACATACATAAACATAAACGGGGTTTTTTGACTAAACAGGCCTGTTGATTACACATATCCTGTACTTGCTCTTGAGCGGATATGTGTAATCAACAGGCCTGTTTAGTCAAAAACCCCCGTTTATGTTTATGTATATGTACATCGCGTGTGACAGTTTGTGTTTTTGTATATTAACGACGCCACTAAGGCTGAATGTCTGATGATAGCATGGATATGCTGATGTAACAATGTTACAACTTCTATGAGCTGATTGACGAAGGTAACCTTATTTATTGATTTAGTCACAAGATCAGCTCAGGGGCTAAAAAATATGGATTTTAAGTACTGTTAGACTGACACCTAGAAAAAAGTTATAGAATTAGCTTAATCGAGTTACTTTTACTTGGAACCATGTTTGAAAATTACAAACAATGAGGTTTAATAGGCCTATAAGACTTTAAAGGGGAAAAGGAATTGTTTAATGACACAGGTTTCAAAGTAAAAACAATTTTTTTTTTTGAAACAGAGTAATATTGTTAATGTCCAAAAAATATATTATGCGTGATAATCTATTAGAGATGAAATATGACATCGTCGATTCATAGTAGATCCGACAAACATGTATTACATAACTTTTAAAATATTTACTACAAATTTGTCAATAAGCAGAATAAATCAAGTAAGCTGAAGAATGAAATTTTATTTTCAGAACCCTTGAAGAGGAAACTAAGTTATTTCAAAACATCAGTATTAATTAAACCTCATTGTTTAACATAAAAATAAATACACGAGATACTAGCATGCTCAAAAATCACATCCCACCAATGTTTCCTACAATTTATAATGTTTTCTGGTGGATAACAAAAAAAAAATGGGGTTTCAGAAAATCAAGAGCATTTTAAGACGTGGACATAAAAAAAAAATTAGGAGGTAAAACAGATTATTGAAGGAACAAATTAGGATAAGATATTTGAAACAGAAAAATTATGAGTTTACTTGAAATTGGTTTTTCCATCAAATTGCTATAGAATATAGCGATGGGTGTCACATTCAAGACAAAGGAAGATTTAAAGACATATCAATAATAAAATAATAAAAAACAAAACTGTTCTGGTGGAATGGTTACAGCAGCAATAAGCATGCAAATTAATCAGAATATAACATTGCTGACTGATAAAGTAGCACTAGGCTATAAAACCATTTTTCCAAAGTAAAGGTGTTTGATTTTAATTAGTTTAGTAGCAAATAAAAGTATGGAAATTGATCAGTCAACAATGTTGTAGTTCATCAAGCAACTTAGATCGAATAGGCTCACCAGGGCGGCGAACTGGGGCTATATCTTCGGGATTTATAATACTCCTGTTAATAGTAGTGTCTCCATGATTGCTGCTCGGCTTCCTCACAATTTCTATTGTGAACTTTTTCAAATCATTAATATTATAGTCCACAGGGTTTTCAGGGCCTCTGAACTTGGGTGCGCCGCCATCGTTGTCTTCATAATCTCTTTCTCTGAATCTAAAAAAGGAAATATTGAAGTAGTAGAAGTTGTCTAAACTATTATTGATAATTCTTTACTTGAATACATTAAAAATGGAATGGATGGTGCAGCAAACAAAGAGTTTTTATGTTACAAGTATCACTCAAAAAATTGTCATATTGCATAAAAATAACTATTATTTACGACTGGTTCAATCCAGTTGTTTTCACAGTGGACAAATTCACAGCTCATTGAAGGTTATAAACTTTTTATGGTTGAATAGGTATCGTGTCTTAGTTAATTGGCATAACATAACTCACACATAGCTCACATTGGTATTTTTAAATTACACAACTCATATACATTATAGGTAACCTTAAGAGACAAGTCTCTGTAAAACCTGAAAATCATATTAACATGATAGTTTGACAGAAATATACTACAATATAGAATTAAAGAACATGTCAAATTAATGGTGCCTACCTTTCTGAGCTAGAAACGTTTCTAACTGGTCGTGGTTCTGGGTCTACAGCTGAATTGTAACGCAATTCTGGTGCTCCTCGTGATTCACCTCTTGAGCCAACTGGACTTTTGCTGAAACAAACAGTCACGTTAGAAGCAGCTGACATCAATTAAACAGGGCAGCCAGTGTTCTATCAAATTAAAATTCAAGGACAATTCCATGTTCAATATTTCAATAGAGAATACAAGTTAGGTGTGTTTTTACTGTTAACATACCTGATTTTTGGTCTCCTGGATAACTCTCTTTCTGGAATTGGTGAAGCCTTCCTTTTTATAGGAGGAGGGCTGTATGAACGCCGTTTAGGAGGAACTGGAGATCTGCTCCTCCTAAAACAAAACATTGATCTTGATCCCAGTTTTAAAAACTAGTAAATTTTAAAGACTGGCGTGAGCCCCCGTCCAAGTTCAAGGAGGTCTATAGAATTTTTTAATACACATAAATAGTCAGGTTCAGGCTTATATATCCTAATATCATTACACATAAAGACCTAATGGAGTACCTATTGTTTTTGTAAGTTAGCTAAACCCTTGATACCTAAGTGTGTGTAATGGATTCTCAACCTAATGTTAATTTCATTGCCGAAAATGTATTGCCAGATTTGTGATGTTTACAGCAAAGGTGTGATAAGGATGGCTGCAGGAGACAGTGATACCTACTTCAACTTTTAAAAAGGCCATCTTTCACAATAGGACTGCAGTGTTAGGCCTAGTCAAGTGTCTGAAAACTGATAGGAAAATCAGCAACAAAATCCATATAAGTTTCACAATAATTACAGCTTGCAGTTTTATAGTTTTCCCGAAATTCACTGAGGTTGGCTCACTAACCTGTTAAAATAGATAGCTGGTTACCGTACCAAAAATTGTAGATCTTAATAGATTATGATGAATTATAACAGAAACTTATTGCAATACTAATATTCCTGAAAGAATGAAACAAAAAAAAAAAAGCGAAAAACAAAGTTTTAACCACAATTAAGTTAATTAACCACAAACAATTAAAAAGAAAGTTTATAACAAAATGCATTACCAATAAAATTCACAAGTAGGCTCTATCTATACCAGATGTTAAAGTCTGGTATACACCTGGATACACGCTGGTGTGAACAGGCCTTTTGCCTACCGTATGTTAAGATGCAATTAATTTAGGCCTACCTGATGGATGGCCTGTATTCCCTCCTATCTCTGCCACGACTAGACGACGCCATCTCTATACGCTGTCTCGCAGGACTGTGGGCTCGACTTCTCTCAGACGAGTGGTGAGATATGAGCGGAGGTGGCGGCGGAGACCGGCGATGAGGTGATCTACCTGGCATGTCAAACCTACAAATTATAATTTATCTCCAATTTATAACATTTTAAATAATTGTGGTAGGCCTAGAGTTAGTTAATCTGTGGGCTGGGTTGATAAAAAATGGGAAGTAACTGAAACAACTAGAACATATTGCCTTCGATAGTGTTTACAGAGACAAAGAGGTGCCTCACAGGAACACTATTCCAAGTTCTTTTAACAAACTTGTTTACACTGGACAGTCCAACAGTCTTCAATAAACCGCCATCCATCCAAAGGTCTAAAAAATTGTTTTATGCAGTATTATGCCATTTTATTAGCCTTAGCAACGTCATAGGCAATCGTCAGACGTCAGGAGTCAGTACCAAGCAGACATTGAGAATGGTCATTCTGATAGCGGAAGCCTTAGTTTAATTATTTCCGCTAGTCTCACAATAACGGCTGTTTTAGCACAAATTCAGTAATCCTGCACTTAAAATAAACCTACATCACATTGGGGGGAGAGGGGGGTAGATGTGGACAGGGGCAGAAATGGACAGTTTGAATTGCCCGCTCTTTGAATGTTGGATTTAGTTGGCAATTTTGCCACAGGTAAGCAGTGGTGTAGTTCTTCTTCTCAGGAAGTTTGGAGCTCCTGCGCCAACTTTGTGTAAGGTAAGTTTTTTTGTTTAATTTTTAACAGTAAAAAGTAAAATTTCAATGCTGATTTCAAAAGGACAACTTGTTTTGAGGTTTTGTTATTATCTTACAAAGGTGTTTTAACCTGACTCTGCAGTAAATTGGCTACATTTTGATGTATATATTGCATGCTTTAACATACTCTAAAACTAAAATTTGGAGGAAAATATACAAAAATGTCACCTGGGGCACTTGTGGACAGCAAAAATGGGGCACATGTGGACGTCCACATGTGCCCCGGCCTAACCTTTAAGCATGTTTCACTGATTATTTTGCCTTAAACATAACCTGAAATATGTACTAGGTTGTGTTTTACTTAAAATAAGTAGACTTATGCAAACTAAATTTAAAGTAGTAGGCCTTATTAAAGCAGGCCTAGGCCTAAAATATTAAAACTTATGTTTTGAATGGAATATTATTCATATTTTTTGTAGGCTTCCTACCTATTTTTGAAAATGGGTCACACTACAGTTTCAATCTTTAAACACATTATCTCTAACTTGTGCAATATTTTATATTATAGGTCACAATGGTGAGAACCTACACACCCAAAACTGGACGAGCTACAATTTCTGAAGAAGCCATCCAACGGGCACTTCAGGACATTCTTAATGGAAACTGTTCCATTAGAAAGCTGCTGACCATGGGTTGTCGAAGTCAATGCTTCACAAACGTTTCAAGAAATTGGGCCTGGAAAAAGATGTGGATGCCCCAATTTTAAATCTACCGCCAGCACCAGGTAGCATCAACCAGAAATCGTTTCTTGCAACATCTGACGCCGAAGAATCGCAAGAATCGATCGATTTTGATAAAGATGGGGGAATAAGCCCACTTATTTTGACTGAGAAAATCAAAAGCGAAGAGGAATGTGAAGTGAAGAGAGATGGAGCAACATCAAAGACAATGATTTTGTTTTGGTGAAGTTGGCTTAAAAAAAAAACTGTTTGACATTTTGTTGCAAATAAGTGAAAAACATGGTTTTACTGAATTCACAGTCAATTTCTTAAGAAAAAAAGATTTGTTTGGACCTCCTAAATTTGTAATGCCTGATGTATCGGATGAGAGTGTTTTCGACGTCACTGACGTAGTTATTAAACTTGGTCAGCCTAAAGTTGTAGGAGGGACTGAAAGAGCAGTCAGCATTTTCACCTTAAAGTTTAATTTCGATAACTTTCAAATGGGATAGGCCAATTCCTTGAAAATTTTTCACTAAAGATAGTTTATAAGAGGGGCTGAAAGAGTTTAAGAATAATTGTTATCATTGTAATTATCAAAAGAAAATCTTAGGCCTATATGAGAAGCGGTTGATAAGATTGTAAGCTAATATCATGTTTTAGTGAAATTTTACTATTAAAAAGGCTTAAAAAATGGGGATGGACTTGTTAAAAACATTGTTAAATTTGTTTTAAAGACTAATAGATGTGCAAATAAACATAATTAGAAATAATTTAGGTGTTTTGAGTACATTTTCCTTGTGTCCACATGTGCCCCATGTAATTTTTTCTTTGTCCACTTGTACCCCACATTAGGGCAGAAGTGGACAGGTTGCAGATGCTAAGTAAACAAAATATTTTAAACACCATAAATGCTTTAATGACTTGAAAATCTGGTATTTCAGTTGGCAATGAGCTAAGCTATCTAAATAATTTAATATAACTAAGAAAAAACTCAAGGAAAAAAATACAAAAAATAAAATCTTAAAATTGTCCACAAGTGCCCCCCTCTCCCCCTACAGCACAGCACATTCCTACGGCATCTTCAAATTCCTAAATGGGCTGGATTAGCAATTGCCTAACAATGGTGTGCCTTAACACGCTGTATTTATTTATTTACCAACGGCAATACACCAATTTACAAAGATAACCAGTTAAGTTACAAGTTAAAAATAGTTTTTTTAAGCTGTAGAAAAATACTCAGCGGAATTCCCTTTGCTCAAAACGCTATGGACGACTAAGTTATTATACTCGCCTTTTAATAAGTTATAAAGTGCATTAACTGGTCTTGGTAGTTGTTCCCAGATTTGCCGATAGAGTGCGGCAGCTATTGGCAAATGTCTCTCGTGATAAAAAAATCACAATAACAACGTTCCCCGCCCTCTGATTGTTCAAAACGGTGGGGTGCTACACTCACTGGCCTTTGCTATGAGAGACGCCAGGCGCTATGGAAGGACTAACATTCAAGTATTTAGTTAACTCGCAGATTCTGCGGGAAACTTTGTTCTCTGCTGCGTTCACTTGGTTTTACTGTTGTTACAAAAATCATTAATCATAAATCTTTATTGTCATTTGGTAATAGTCATAGTCAGAGTTATAGTCATAGTCAAATTTCTTTATTTATCTTGTATATACATACATAAATAGTGTCACAGTAAAGTAAAATAATTATAATAATCTTATGGTAAACTACATCAAAGCTCTCTCAAAGCTATTTAAAAATTAATTGAAATAATCCATTAATCAACTTACTAGATTTAACTTACTGAAAAAAATAACAATAGGCCTACTTAAAAATTTGTATATGCTAAGTTAAATTACATGAAGTATATACATTTACATATATACCTCTGAACATCTCAAATAATCAACTAGAATCGAAAAATTCTTCCTTTGAATAACAGCTTTTTTTTTAACAAATAACTTTTAACCAGATACCGTACTTGAAGTTTTGGTTATTAATTTTGCTTTTTAAATTTTCAGGTAAATGATTTAAACATTCAGAGCCAAAATGAGTAGCTTTTTTATTAAAAAAACTAAGCCTATGTTGGGTTAAGTTGAAATTGTTCTTATGTCTAGTATTATGAGAATGTATAGGCCTACTACTGCGCAGATCTAATTCATTATATTTATTTCTAACACACATTATACATTCAAGGATATATTGGTCAACAATGTTTAGAAAACTATTGTTTTGTAAACATAGGTCTAGGCCTATAAAAGATTAGATACCTAGGCCTAACTCAAAAAGATAACGTCATTATTCTTTTTTGTTCTTCCATTCTTTCTTAGGATTCCTTTCATCCACGCATTCAAGAAGTTGCCGTGGTTGCTAATTAAACCCTTTTAGCTTCCTGCGGCTCTTGGAGCAACTAAGAACATTTTCATAAGAGATCCAGAGGTCTTATCCTACTACAATAGACTCCTTCTTATTCGGACTCCTCGGGACCGAGGCCAGTCCGGATAACGGGATTTTCTGGCTAAACCAACGTCCCCAGAAACTCGTTAAAACAGACTGCTTACTGTGATATTTGACTTAAATTTAGGAGATAATTGTATTAAGACACGTGATCACTGGTCTCAAATCCTTCCCACGAGAACTGTCGTTTCAGTAGGCCTACTGCCCACTTCCTGATGATCTAGTCCGGTTAAACCAATGTGCTGATAAAAGTTGCCTGATTACATCCTTCTCTAAAAATTAACATTTTATGGTCTAAGTGGGGTGGAGCCAACGATGTAAATAACTACTGGATTGCGCTCTCAGTGGCTTAGCGGGCGCTGTTTTCGGTCTCGCTCCCCCCACTCTCTTCTGGCAAGATAGCGGCGGCCTTCCTCACGTGCATGCTAACTGTCACCCATTTCAACACTTGTTTGATGTAACAACGGTGTGCGGTTTTTTAAAACTGTGATTAAAGTTTATCAATATCTTTAATTGTACGCTAAGTATGAGTTTAAAATGGTTGTGTCTTGTTCCGCTTACAGCTGCACCAACAGAGTACAGAAAGGCAGTGGCAATTCGTTTCACGTGTAACAATAGATCTAATAAATTAATCTAATCTAATAGATTATAAACAAGGTGTCTGAGTAAGTGTTTCCTTGACTTGTTACAGCATGTTTAACTTGGCCTAACTGAAATTTCTTTTTGTTTTCATTTTGTTGATAGTGTTAAACTAATACTGTACATATTGTAAAACATTCACAATGAAATAAATTCGTCCGGGCTTATTTTCTCAGAGGTCAGTCAACACTATGGGTTATGATGGTATGTCGGGTTGATATTCATTAGGTATAATCACTCAACTGGCTGATTATGTAACTAAAGGTAAGCTCATTAGGGCACACGATGAAGTTTTTAAGGTAGTTAAGTACATTTACAATGTATTAACTTTTCAGCTTCGACATAAAGGAAACTTTAACACAAAAAGACTATTTGTAGCCGCGTGTTCCCATTTTGTGGACACTATTTTTAAGGGGCACGTCGTGAATATTTCTTTTGGGGAAGACACCTATGAATTGCAATTAATTAAGTTTGTTTGTGACCTTTTTATTAAAATGTAGGCTATTGCCACCACTCAGCTAACCAAAAAAGTATCACGTTTACGCCTAACATACCATAAGTCTGCGACAGAAAGTCACCAAAA